GAGAGAGAGAGAGAGGAGGGAGTAATCGTCTGAGATTTGGGGTTTGCCGCATGATTGGAGCCAAACCCTCAGCCCAGGTCTTTCTCTTACCGAAAGCCCTCCCTTTTCGATACCATAAATCCATGGCCTGCATCAATCTGAGCAACCGTAAAAGCTCTGGGCCTTCACATGTATCACTATTTTCAGGCTTTAGAAAGTGGAAGTTGTTACAAAAGATCAACCTTTTCTCGAGAGTTAAGAGAAACTCTGCTTCGTCAAATGAGCAGCCAGTTAAAGGTCGGGAACATGAGGTTGAATCAGTAGAAGGAGGAGAAGATATGTGGGATTCAGCCTCTGCTGCAGTTAAATTTCCTGAGCATCTCATAATCATGGTCAATGGAATTGTTGGGAGGTATATTTCAATTGTTTTTCTTATAAAAACCTTATTTTCTTGATAAGTTTTTTACTTGTTTCATTGATAATGTGGTTTCTTAGTGGTTGTGGTGATTGGTAGGGGCAAAGCTTTCTCTCCCCCCACTGTTTTCCTTTGATTTTTGGTTTCATCATAGCGGATGGTGAATTTTGTGTATCTAATGCTTTTTTAAAAGCGTTATTTGAAATTTTAAAAAGCGTTATTTGAAATTAAAAAATCATTATTTGAAATTAGTTTATCTCATGCTTCTTATGTGGTATTTTATGTATTGCATTGAACTATAGGTTAAATCCTGTAAATTTTTATTTCATTGCCAGGGGTTTTCATTGACAAGTTATTTATTCATAGATTGGATCCTGGTACTTTTTTTAAGTCATCGCCATGGATTTAATTGCGAATCATTTAGCATTGGATTTACTTTTTGTGTTTTTTGGTATCTATCTTTGATGGATTCCCAATTAATGAATGCAATTGTTTTTGGTTTTTGGTAGTAAATGCTCACTAAATCACCAGCTGCACTTTCACTCTCATTGTGTGACTAATGATCTACTAGGTATCCTGCCTAAACACAGGGTAGTCACCCTATGAAGGTTCAAAGAATTCACTTTTTGTTCTTTGGTTTTAATCGCTATAAAACACATAATGAAAATTGATGCCATGTTGAAATATTGTGGGCATATTTATTATTGTGATTACTTTGATATAAAAGAAAATTATATTCCAATCTCCTATTTAAGTCCCTAATATATGTCAATTTCCCATGTGTATTCAGTGCAGAGGATTGGAAATTTGCTGCAAATCAGTTTGTGAAGAGGCTCCCAGATAAAGTTATGGTGCATCGTGAGTCTCCGAACATAAATGTATTTAATGTGTGTATTTGAAACTTTTATTGGCTGATGATGTATCTGGGGCTCTTAGGCTAACCTCATGTCGGTAACTTGTTTTTGGAGGGTAATATTTTGAATTCTTTTCTTTTAGATTCCCTCACATGGGATGTTATGAGGACATGGATACAAGAATCTGTGTCAGACTCGGATTCAAAGAATCCCACTCACCTACCTATAACTTTCCCAATCCAGTATGCACATTTCTACAAGTTTGTTGCACACATATATTTATATGCATTTGAAGTACATATAAGATTAGTTCGTGACTTATAAATAATAACATTAGCTTACAAGAATAATTCTTGGGTTCAATTCAATGACACAAATGTCAAAAACATGTGTGCCCTCTATTGCCTTACAAAAGGACACGGATGTCTTACAATGTGGACATGCATGCTTTACAAAACGGATGCACTTGTCTTACAATGTAGACACGGACGTCTTAGAAAATGGATACGCATGTCTTGTTCGTCCAATATGTGGTCTAACTTGTCCACATAATAGATGCGACATGTCTGCGAATCAAAAAATTGAAAACTTCCAGACCACATATTGACAAAGGTTTCTTATGTCTCTCTGCGTGACTTGCATATCGGCATGTGTCTGTTGCGTTGGCATGTTGAATTCTCCTAGATTTATAGCTTACATGACATTAATGTTATTAGTATATGATGACATTTTTCGGTGTTTCATCTCTTGTTGAGCTAATTGATGAGGCTTTTTGGCCTTCATAATTATTTCTTAGTGTACGTACACTGGAGAAACTCATGTAAAATGTTAATCTAAAGAAGATGGGTTCTGTCTTTAGAATGATACATAATTTCACCTAGCTTGTTGTATGCAGGCAGTGAATGCAATTATGCAACATTGACCTTTGATGGTGTTGACAGGATGGGTGAGAGGCTTGCTGATGAGGTACTGGATTTGTCTTTAAAATTGATGTCCTATGATCTAATGACACAGTGACAACACATTGTATTATGCATGTTAAATTATTGGATCCTTGTATTTCAATTCTTGACGCGTTTTATGATGGTGCCAGTTTCATTAATCAGAATTAGAATTATTAACTGTTTTGTTTTGTGGGTAAATTTCAAAATTAGAATGGCTTATATTTTGCCTTTTTGAACTTTAATTGATCAAAATAACATTTCATAGTTGGAATTGTTATTGTGGATGGAGGTTTGCTTTCGAGTGTTTATATGGCAAAACATCTGGCGAACAATTACTTCCTTCAAACTGCAGGTAGTATTAGTGGTTAAACATAGACCTGGGGTTCAAAAAATCTCCTTTGTGGCTCACTCATTAGGTGGCTTGATAGCAAGGTACGCAATTGGAAGGCTTTATGAACCCTGTCCTGATACGCAGCTGTCAGATGCCACTAGTAATTCTTCAAATGACAAACATCTGGAGAAACCCTGCGAAGGTAGAATTGCTGGATTGGAGCCCATGAACTTTATAACATTTGCAAGCCCTCATTTGGGTTCGAGGGGGAACAAACAGGTAGTTCAAACTCGATCTGAGATTAAATGCTTGTTTTCTAGGGTATCAAGTTGTCAGTACATTATGCATTTGCAATATTTTTGATGAATCAAGTTTATTGGTAACAAATTCTTTATTAGTAAGCTACTCATTTTTTTGTTTCTACAAAGGTGATTTGTGTTCTTACTTTGCACATTGATCAGTACAGCTCCCTTTCCTTTGTGGGCTCCCATTTTTGGAGAGTAGAGCATCACAAACGGCACATTGGATTGCCGGGAGGACGGGAAAACATCTTTTCCTCACAGACAATGATGATGGAAAGCCTCCACTTCTCCTTCGAATGGTGGATGACTATGATGGCCTGAATTTCATGTACTGGTCATCTATACATTGTCACCGTTTTTTACGGAAAGAAGTCATTTTGTTGAAGGTGTACTTTATCATCCCAGCCTTATCCTTTTCCATATGTGTTTTCCAGGTCAGCTTTACGATCTTTTAAGCGACGTGTTGCCTATGCAAATGCGAACTATGACCGTATCCTATTTTGGGAAATGAATATATTTTAACGGCTGTGAGATCTTGGGGCGTCGTGTAATATTAGATGTGTATTTTCCAGAGTGATTATCATTATAGAATTTATATTTCCTTTCTACAGCATGCCTTGTTATAATTGTATTCATACACGGAATTTAACTTCTTATCTAGACATGGTCGGATGGAGAACATCTTCGATACGTCGCCAACATGAGTTACCAAAGGTTGGTTTTGAATATCATTTTATGCATATGCATCTGGTGGTTTCTGTAGCCATCTTATTGTTTCCTCTTGGCCATCTTTTCTGCAGAACCAACTTCTCTCAAAAGATGAAAAATATCCACATGTTGTATATGTAGAGAGAGGTAATCCTCCGAGCATGCATCAACAGGAGAGTTTGCAGATTAAAAACAAAACCATAGACTTGGAAGGTCAGTCACTGAACTGTGAACAAGTTAACGTTTTAGAAGTTAATATAACTGCATCCTTCCTATCAAGTTCTACATGAAAATTCATAGTTGTTAGGACCATGAGTGGGGGATGTTGAAAGGATAAAAGATCCCTATGGTTGGGAACACCGTCCGTACAATGCATTTATAGGGATTGAGATTCCCAAGTGTTAGGGATCTCAATTCTAACCTTTTGGGGATCTTGCTTCCATCCTTAAAGAGTATATATAGTCTAAGACTATATAGACTCTTTAAAATAGGGATCTCTTTGTTTATAGCCAGAAAGTAATGAAACTATATTAAAAGTATGGCTGCATTGCTGGCTAACTATAAATAAAGAGAATCATTAATTTGGTTGTTATCTTGGTCTTTAAGCTGGGGTTGAATCCCTAAAAATAGAGATTGAGATCCCAAAATTTAAAAATCATGATCTCTTGAAGTTCCCATTCCCCGAATGCGGGAGCGAGATTCTGGAGCGGGATTGTCATCCAGGTTGGGAAATCCTAGCAACTATGTGAAAATGTAACGATAAACTATATTGCTAGTTGTCAAAAAATTGATGAGGGGCCTAGACAACTTAATACAGAAAATTGTGCTGCTTTTCTCATGCCAAGAACGTAGAATTTTGTTCTATTAAGACTTTATGCAAACTTGTTACTCATACATGTAGACTGGTAAAATGCCTTTCCAAAAATGGACGGCTAAAGTTGTACAGGCCAGCCCGACTGTCAGAGCTGGTCTGGCTTGCCATTGGTTTGATCTGCATATGAAGGTCTGTTGGGTTGGGTGGGACCTAAGTTTTGCACCTGTTAAAAAAATGGGTCACTTCCATGTCTGGGTTGTTAATAAGCCTGATTGGCCGTTAGAATAGTTGCAACAAGCTGAGCTAGGCCTGACTAATTGACTTTTATAATTGTATTGTAATTACTATTAAAAGGAATTATTGTATAATTGTAGAGGAGTATGATAATCTTTTATGGGATTGTCTTTTTTTCTTTTTACATGTCCCTCTTAACAAACCTCCTGTTTCCCCTACTTCTTCTAGTGCCTTTCCTCTCCTTCCCCCAGATAATCCCTCTCTCTCTCTCTC